AGGTATGGGCCATAGAACCTGGCTGACGGCATCCAATTACGACGATAAACCAGAGATTTTTGTCTATAAGGACGAACCTTGATGAAAACCAAATCCCCTACCTCAAAATTATCTTCCTTACGACCCAACTCTGCATATTGTTTTGTCTGCAACTAGGCTTTCAACAAATACATACGAACCGTATCAAGAATTTCATTTCGGTCCTGTAGCTCCTTATTCATGCCTTGCAAAACCGGCGACTTTTCCTTATACCTCAACAAAGTTGGGGGATCCCTACCATACATCACCTTAAAAGGAGAACATTTGAGACCCGAATGATAAGCCGTATTATAAGAATACTTGGCCCAACCCAGCCATTTGCCCTATTGCTTAGGTCTATCTTTCAAACTCTGATCAAAAACCTCCGTTTGTGGATGATATGTTGTTCTAAACTTCAATCTGGTACCTTGCAACTTAAAACAATTCTTTCCAAAAGTTGCTAAAAAAACTCTTATCTCTATTTGTAATCCTTGACTTAGGAACACCATGTAACCAAATGACTTCACGTGTAAAAACAGCAGCCACCGTCTGAGCTGTAAAAGGATGTTGCAACCCTATAAAGTGAGCATACTTGCTTAATATGTCCACCACTACCAAAACCGAATTCCATAAGATTTCGGTAATTCTTCCACAAGATCCATGGTAATTGCCTCCCAAACCTTCAATCGAAGTGGAGTAGGTTGTAATAAGCCAGCCAGAGAGCCTGCAAGGTCTCCCGGGTCTTTGATCTAGTATCACTTGTGATGGACTATAATATTACATGTGATTGACTATAGTAAAATGGTGCTCTCGTGTTTTCATAAAATGAAGATCTTACATATTCAAACATCTTAAAGCTCATAATAGATATAACTTGAACATGCAATAATCACATATTTAGCTAGAAATCACCATCAATTTCGTATAGAACATATAACTATAATGCACACGTCATCAAAATGTAAAAAAACATGTAATCACCTTAGGGTTTTGGAAATTAAGTGCTGAAAGTAGGACTTGGGGCTGAAATGAGAATTTTAGAGCTTAGATCATCTTTTCTTTATTAACCCTTGCACCTAATTTGAGTTTTCTTCTTTCTTGTGTTCCTCTCTTCACGGCTCTTGTAAGTGAGTGTGTGTGTGTGTGTGTGTTTAGTTCAGCAGAAAGTTTCTAACTAAGTGAAGAAAATGGTTAAGTTCTTAAATTTTTGTGGAGAGGAGAGTGGTGTCAAACTTTAGCTATTATAACCCTAAATTCTCCGACATTAGAGATAGTGGGCCACTAACCAAGGCTATAAATTTATTATTATATTTTTATATAAAAATCTTTAATACTTAGGTGAGTAGAATATGTTGACTTATGTGTTTCACCCTAAATAACTTATCAATGTCCTCCCAACATTGGAATCTTGCTCTGTTTTGAAACATTCGAAGTCCTTGATCATCAATCTCTAGAAGTTTTTCCTGATAAACCATCCATTCCTTTTCTATGTTTTCACTCGTAAGGGCATCATTTTGTGCTTCTTTTATTATCATAATTTCAAGCACTACTTTGATTCATAGAGCTTTAATTATTAGAGATTTTTCCCTAGCTTTTCTGTTTAACACATCAGCTACAACATTAGTATTACCTGGATGGTACCAAATCTCGCAATTGTAGTCTTTAAGCAATTCCATCCATCTTTGTTGCTGCATATTCAATTCTTTCCGGCTAAACAACTATGGAAATTTTTTATGATCCATGTAAATGACACAAAGGGTACCATAGAGATAATGTCTCCAAATCTTCAATGCAAAAAACCACAGTTAACTCTAAATTAGGTGTCATATACTTTTTCTCATGCTCCTTTAATTGCCTCGAAGCATAAGTATTACCCGATTTTTTTTGCATAAGTACACAACCTAGGCCCAACTTAGAATCAGTGATCATGATCTTGGAGGAAGAGATGCACACTGAGAGAACTAATTTTATGATATTAAAATGATAGGGATCATAATCTTAGAATAGTCTAAAGAAGAATCCATTTGTATAGGAGTTGAGGTAAATAGTATGAAGAAGCAAAACATCGTTTAGATTCATAAAAACTAATATATGGAGAAGTAAAACATGGTTCGAGAGTAAGACTAACATAACCAGAGAATAACAAACTAAGGTACATTTTACATCGTAAGGCCCAAGTTGGTCATCCTTGGATGAAACCATGGACTAACACACCTGAAAATTTTAGAAGGTTCATTGAATTGCTGGGGGGTATAAAAGTGAAAAGGGAATGTTTTTTGTAATTTTAACGGATCAATTCTTTAACTGATATAGGATTTTATGTACAGTGTGATTATATTACATCTCAATAGATTTCTAGAGTTAAGAAAATCCTAGAAAATATGTACCAACTATATCTCACACTAGAGGTGATCATTTATGGGCCCGTGTCAGACCCAACCTCATTTTTTTGTCCAAGGAACATAGCAAAACCAAGCCCTTTTCTGCGAGCTTGATACGTTGCCATTACCTGCCCTATAAATGGGTCGGGCTTGCCATGGGCTAACAGGCCTAAAGTCTTTTACATAAAAAAAGCCTATGTAAAGTCATTCAAAATAAACAATTTTCTTTCCAACTTAAAATAGGACTTGGTACACACAGAGTTAGGATGGCTATAGAAAAGAATAGCTTCACAAAATACAGATGTCCCTTTTAAGGTATATGAAATATTTTCTATGGAACCTAGAACTTACAACTTCCAAATCCAATATTGACACAAGTTTTCAACACTCCTTAACATGCTTCTGCAACCTTAAAATGCTGATACTTAAGGAAGGCAATCTTATGCCAACAGTGTCACATGAATAACAACCTTTCTAGACATCAGTCATGCTAAGACAAGAATAGCCGACTAAATAAGATTAGTTTAAGACCACGTAGCGCAATCTTTTCTCAATAATAGAAGCCCAATGTTGTGTGCTTTAAATTCCTAATTATAGTGTCAAACAATCCCAAAGATGTAGCTGAAATAAGTGGATGGAGTATCCTACAAATTATAAATTATAAAAATTAATTATATATTTGTGAAAAAAAATATAAACGAGGCTGTTGGGGCTCTCTGAAATTATTTTTGCATCACACAGGTCTCGCCCATTGTTTCAAGAATGGTTGTGCAAGCCTGCTTTTTTAGTTGGTGTTTTTGTCCGTGAACAACTCTATTTCACACCTATAATTTTTGACAGTTTTCATGGGGGGGGGGAGGCAAAGGATAAGATTCTCTTTTTTATCAAAAAAAATTCTTGTTAAGACAACTTTGGCCAGAAGCAACAAAGGACATTGTGAACTCTGATGAATCAATTAGCAGCCATGGTGCACGATTTTTGACTTATTTTCTTTACCTTTTTAGTGTTCTTTTAAAAAAATTGTACCTCCATCCCTCAAACATCTAATCTAACAACATACTTTAGTTTCTTCATCTCATACATCTAATATGTTTAACACACTTTTTGCATTGAATACATCACATTCTACTACCTTTTAATATATGACCTATTTGTATGTGGTCTTAATTAGAGGTATGTGGAACCGTTCGTAGAACATTCTTATGTTGTGAGCTCTTGATATAACATTTGTTGTAAGCTGTCTCCATACGTATATACATGTACATATAGACGAAGGATCATGTGAGAATAGGAGTTAAAGTGAGAAGTGTAAGAAGGGATTTGGACCCTTATATCTCATTAGTCATTACTGTTGACATACTGGTTCTCTTCAATTAGGATTGATTCAAGGGTGGAGATCTCTTCTTACCCTTCTCAAGATAACTTTCATTCTCACTGGAACCCAACCTTATACATATATACATAAACATAAAGAGGGAGGATCAAACGAGAAGGCTAACTATTTAAGAGAATACGAAAACGGCCAAATCACGTGCAAAATCATATGTGATTTTACATTAACGGGCAAAAAAGTGTATGGGCGGTATGGCCGCGTCTTTAGGTCGTGAGGCAAACTCGTGTGAATCACATGTGATTATGTACGTGATGTTAGTGTAAAATCACATGTGATTCGACCGTTCTCTTATTCTCTTAAATCGGTAGCTTTCTCGTTTGAACCCGACTCTGAACATATATACATACATACATATATATATATACATACATACATACATACATACATACATACATACATACATACATACATACATATATATATATATATATATACATATCCCTATATGTATGAAGGAACCGAAGTGACTCCTACTTCAAGTTTTGGATCTCTTGTATCAAATAAGAGGGGTCAGATATATACATATATATATATACATACATGTATATATATATACGTACATATATATATATATATATATACACATATATAACCAAACAAACTAGTAACTCCCATCCGAAGGTGGGGTCTGGGATGGGAATTTCGCAGGCCTAACCTCTACCTCGAAGAGTAGAGCAACCGTAAGGCCATGTTGGCAACCTGATCTCTACCTCTAATTGCAAAAAACAATTACCAGAACTAGAGGTTTTAGGACTCTAATACAATGTTTGGCAACCATAAGCTAGTTAATTTTTTGAGTTTATTGAAAAAGGCTTTTGTGGTAAAGCCATTGGCTAGCTTTTTAAAAAGCTACTTGAGATAGTTTTTCAATAAGTTCCTAGGGCTTTGTTACTTTTCTTTTTCTTTTCTAATTATGCTTCTTATATGCAATTCAGTAACTTTTCAACATGTCTTTTTTACATTGTCATCTAGCTTATAAGCTGGTTTTTATCATCATATTTAGAATCTTTCTGCGGTGTGCTCCGTTTACTATTCTTTCGTATGTGACTAGCTATTTTTAGCCAACATCTAGTTTTTGAAACATAGGCTAAGAAAGAGGATTGTATGTGTTTGCAAGTGATAATAAATGAAGATCCTTCATCCTCAATGTTGATCTGTGAAGTACATTCATTAAGAATGATTTTAATTTGTTTTGTGTTTGTTTGCAGTGGGTGATGCAGTGATGATTTTGGGTGAATACTTGAAAGATGAGCCATGGTTGAAGCTCCTATGTAACAATCTTGGGTTGTTTTTCTTCTCTAAAACCAAACCAAACCAAACCAAACCTGCTGTATTTTCTATTCAATTCAATCATTATTCTTAAACTTTTCAAAGTTTCAGGTTAAATATGGATGATGATGAAGCAGCAGCAGATATTACTGAAACCCTCCTACCAACTACTCATTCTTCATTTAATAGTAATCCCATACAGGTAGCTAATAGTAGTAATCAACCTCTATCTAATTAATTATTCAAAACATTTGTTGAATAATAATGTGATTCCAGGAACAGACAGGAGGGATTGAGAAGAGAGTCACCCGAAGTAAAAAGGCAAAGCCAAAAGAGATGAATTCACACAGCATCAAAGATATGTTTAGCAGGGCTTCAAGAAGATGAGGAATTAGCCATTTCTTCTTTATAAATTGGTATGTTTTTATCTTATTTATTCAGCTTCATTCCTTCACAAGCTTTAACTCATCTATGTAAGAAAACAAAATACTCCTAAACTCCCCTGTTCGTATTATACTGTATTAATCATTAATTTATAGCATTATTATTAATAACTTTGTTAAAATATACAAAAACGCCGAGTGATTGTGTACTGTATCTTGAATCTAGTCGTAGCTATCAAGTAATCTTTGAGGAAACGCGTTGTTTCATTCTAAAAGAAGCACCTATATCACTACAAGAACATTTAGATTACACGAATAAATCCCCAAGAACAAGAAATTGTTGCAATTTTAGAGACCATGTAGCTTGCTGAACATTTTTTCAAAGTAACACTTGGTGGAAACTGTTTTTGATTCCGGGCATACGGGACATAGCTACCGTCATAAGGCGCCATCTGGCAACTTTGGGTTCTAACTAGCTTATATAAGTGTGTATTCCGCACCTCCTAACATGTAGTATGGCTTAACCATCAACTCTTTAATTCTCTTGTGATTCAAACTACAATCAACAACGATTTAAAGGTGTGCCCATGTAAAAAAATGGAGACAACTACTTCAAATATTTTTTGAAGGTGTGATTCAAACTACAAATCAACACAACGAGTATTTAACTAAACACCACACATATAGGCTTTACAGACAATTTTAATATTTGAACACTTGGTGTAGTGAAATTCTAAACGCTATTCATCAAACTATATATATCAATTATAAATTTTAGAAGTTTATATAATTTCGGGTAACCAAATTGTTAATGCAAATGTGCATTTTATCATGATCCATGCCAATGAATCGAATGAGTCACATTGAGCGGTAGAAAGACTTATGTGTAGGTATCTTGGTTAGAGTTAGGGGTGGTAACAAGTCGAGTCGAGTTTTTAATGAGCTACACGAGCTCGAACTTAATAATCATGGAGCTCGAGTCGATCTCGAACACACACTAAAACTTGTTTAACTTAACGAGACGAGCTCTATAACACCAATGTTGGACTCGGCTTGTTAAAATGCTCGATTAAAATTGTTTTGAGTCGACCTAGCGGAGCCATTCAAGCATACACTTTTCCAAATCAAACATGTTCATAAATCATATGATTAGAGTATAAAATTTATTGAGATGGAACAAATAAGCAAGCTAATGATCTCAAGTTCCAGCCTATAAAACAATATCAAGCCTACGCCCTATTGAGAAGAAGTTATTTGAGCTCGAGTTTTGTAATATTTTTTGAAACTGAGCTTGAATAACATGCAACTCGACTCGACTTGTTAATACCCCTAGTTGGAGTAATGTTTGGATCCACCTCGTAATTTTTGGTTTATCGAACTGACCAAACGACAACTCTATTTGGATCATCAACTTCTTTTGCATTGCCTGATTTAGCTCGACATGATAACTCCAATTTCCATTTGCATCGAATCCATGTGCTTAAATGCTACAAATACAATTGCATTGTCATTTTAACGTGAAGTTTTCCTTCGCAATAAAAAGGGTGTCACGTATTTTACATCGCACAATTCTTTTCCCATTCGAGCCAAATCATTGTTATGTCTAATTAGCCCCAAATTATATGAAAGTTTTATAAAGTATCTTTGTATTTTGGGTCTATTAGATTGTTAGGCTTTTTAATTGTATTTGGACCCTATAAATAGGTGTCTTGGGCTCATTTGTTTTTAGAGATTACACACACATAAAAATACACAATGAGGTTATGAGAGTCGTATAGTTCTTGATTGTTCAATTCTCCTATTCCCTCCATTGTTACCCACGCATATGAGTAGTGATCCTTCAATAAAAGTGTTCTTCATGCCTATTTGTACTCAATCTATATGGAGTTTATGTTCTATTGTCAAATCCGTCATCTATGACAACAATTGAAGATTTGGATCTTCAAGAGTGATCTTATACGTGTGCTTAACTCCAAGGTATCAATTCTATGATTTTTCTCAATTTGAAGATTGATTTTGAGTTTTGTGGAATTCAATCTCGATTTTGATGATTCTTTGAAAAGAAATGAGGTTAAATGTTCTTGATTCACTTCACAATCTGTTTCTGCACTCCACATTCTTGATTCTGAATTTTCATGTTCCGAGTCTGATCTGGAAAAGATACTAGAAGTTCGAGTGCTTATAATTAGATTTTGTTCTAATTAATTAAAAGTGTGAATTTCTGTAATCATTATTTTGAAAATTTATTAAAGGTGCTAGACCTTTGAGTGCTTATAATCAGATTTTGACATGATCAATTAGAAATCTGAGTATTTACAGTTATTGTTCTGGAGTTTTGTTTGAGATTGAGACTTTTGAGTGTCGTTAATCATTCTTCTAATCTAAGAAGTTAGGGATCTGAGTTTCTGCAATCATTATTCTAAAAGTATATTGGATATTGACTTAATTTCTTCTTCGAATCAAACATTTATTGGTTGAGCATTTGGTAATCTGATTTGATGGAGTCTCTATATCAAGAGAATCAAAGTTTTAGAATCAACATCTTGTTTGTGATTTGACTATTCCAAACATTGTTCAATTTTTTGGTGATGGAATAAAAATCAGCATGTTGACAGATTTGCGATGTTGTATGATATTGCTCATATCTCTCATATCAGAGCACCAATTAAGTCGATTCAAATGGTACTGGATTTATAACAGATGGATATGAATCATGTTTTAAGTTCTCAAAGATTCAAAGCATAGAAGGGTCAGATGTATTGTTCAAAAGGAAAGTACAATGTTGTTGCAAAGCTGTTGTGTATTGAGTTAATTACTTGAATGATAATTAAGAAATAGAGTTTTAAGAATTCAGAGATGTTTGTGTGGATTCAGATCTCTGATTAAAAGATCCAGAGATCTAAGTGTGAAGGGCTAAAGTTAAGAGTTAACAGATTACCAAGTGTTAAAGTTGTCAGAGTTCGGTCAATCAAGGTTCAAAGTTCGTTTAAAGTGGATTCAAAGTTTAGCTATATTCATACAAAGTTCGGACTAGTTTATCCAGAGTTTCATTCAGAGTTCTGAACTAGTTCATCCATAGTTCAGACTTAATACATTCAGAGTTTGGATTTGGTGCAATCAGAGTTAAGACTTAGAACAATTAGAGTTATTAATCATGTACATTCATAATTACTGTCAAATCTGTGAGGTTGTTGTATTTTGATCATATCTCATCCGTCCATGCATCAGGCTCGTTGAAAATATAAGACAAAGTTTTACAACTTTGATTTTTGAGTTTTCTCAAAATCATGCTTCACATCTGTCATAATCCTTGTTGAACTCAAGTGATAGCTGTTGGACAGAAAGCTGTTGAATTTCAAAGGCCAATCTCTCTGATTTCAAGCTAATGAGTTCTCCTCTGATTTTTTTATGAATTCAAGATCTGACAATGAAGTGTTACGAACTACTGCCATCTGTTATCTTAAAGATAGAAGCTTTGAGTTTAAAGTTCACTGAACTCGGTTTACAAAATGTTGGTCCCAAACGGATCTACAAGAGTTTTAAAGTTAACAGTTTCTAGAAGAAGGGATGAATACAAACACACATATTTTCACTTTTTAAATTCTTTTATTGATGAAAGAAGATCAATATAGAATTTTTAGATTACTGCTAAAATTGATAAAGTAAAGACCTAATCTAAACAATTCAAGAAACATAAAGGAAAGCACAAAGAAGATTAAGAACAAGAAAGAAGAAAGTAAGAAGAAGAAGAAGGCGTTGCTAAGAAGAGAGATCTTCTCAGCTATTTATACCCAATGCATTTAATGCAAGTCATAGGGTACAAGACACGTGGAAAACTTCTAGTGGAGAGCTTGTTCTTTGTCTTTAGACATGCAGACTTTTGGCTGCATATGAACAGTCGACATTTACAAAGTTGGTAAGCATGTTTGGAGACAATAAAGTAACTCCATACGTATACCTTTCTGTGTGAGGTATGAGGTTGTCCTTTTGTGCATAAAGGATGAGGCATAAATTAATATTGTAGAGTAAGATTCATTTGATCGCTGGCAGTGATTCATCTTGAAAGATTTTTTAGTGTTCGCTAAGTCTTGGTCAGATTTCACACTTTGATTTAGACATTCTGTTATCACTTAATCCACTTCAGATCATGAACTGATGTGTCTCTTTTTTCAGCTACTTTTTTGACATCATTGAAGGTTCTTTTGGTGTGAGTTTTGTCTTTGGAGAATACTTGTTCTTTGAAATATTTATGGCACATGTTCAGCGATCACTGAACAAACTCAGAGATGATCGTTGAAACTAAACAAAAATACAACAAGTATTTTTTACTAGGGTCATTGTGATAACCGGGTTCCAGTTATACGTGGAGGTAATTATTTGATTGTTTGGTTGCGTTAGTATGTGATCAATTGTTATATTTAATCATGTGGATATATGCATGCATGAGAATGATTATGTGACTATGTGCATGCATGCATGGGGTGTATATATAAGAGTATGTGCATATGTGTATATGCATGTATGGGAGTGATATGTGATTGTGTGCATATTTTTTATATGCATGCATTATGTGGTCATGCATGTGTATGTGTTATGTCTGGGAAGGAAAAACTTTGTTTTATTCAAAACTATCTTCACCGCCTTCTGTTAGAAGGTATAAAAGTTGGAGTTTTTGAAGAGGCAACTTTTCTTGCCACTTTTAGAAATAATCAGGAAAAAGAGAGAAAGTCTGTGTGTGTTTGGTACAAAGAAGCTGTGATTTTGGAAACTGTTTCTTGTTTGCTGAATTATCTTCTATTTGAAAAAGGTGAGTTTTTACTACATGCAAACATCTATTTCAATCTTTTAAGGTTATTGGTTTGAATGGCTTAAAAAACTGCTGGTGTATGTATACATATTTTTTGATAATCCTCAATGCATGGTATAGAGTTTGTAACCGGGCATAATAGTGTACGATGAGGGTTCCTCACTGGCTAAGCTTTAGTCGTTGAAGAGTTTGGTTAACTTGTAGTGTTGACCGATGAGGTCCCTAACCGGACATAGTCTTGTCCGATAAAGATTCTTTACCGGACATAATGTTGTCCGGATAGATATTCATCTTTTATGGTGTTGTTTGAAAATAAGGTTTGAAAAGTTAAGTATTGACCGATGAGGATGTATCTGGACAATGTGTTGTCCGATGAGAGAGTATCC